GCAACACACTGTAACTTACTGTGGGGCAAAAAGTATTTTAACAGCCACTGATTGAGCAAGTTCTCTCACTTAGAAAGATGAGCGAGCTCTTTAAATTTGATCAAAGGTACACTTGTGGTGTACATGTTTGGGTGGTGTCTCTCACCCAGCAGGCTGTGGGGGCATGTTCTTAGCCCTCATGTTGTTTTCACGTTGCTTTCTGGGATTGTTATGTTGGTGCGGAAAGACAATCTGTTGGCGTTTTTAGCTAAAAAAGCTCTGCATGTAACGAAATGATTTTTCGATGGCATCTTTTTTTTCACCATCCTATCCCCTAACTTTTACTGAAACATCTATCTATGTAGCTGCCATTTACAATTCACTGATTGCGACTACTGAGTACAACCATGTACGCAGTAAATAGTGACTGCCAATAATACTATGACTCAAAGAGACAGTTGGGTAAAATAATTGAGCAGAAAGGGGAAAAATAGTGGAAAGTATTGGTTAGGACTGTCCCCGCCAGCCCATGGTGGGACATGGTGTTCGGGTCTGAAGATTGGAAAACCCACTCAATAACCTTGAAATGCTTTTAATGGGCCTACTCCTTCATTGCCTGGGCGATGGGTTTAGGATCATTCTCATATTATAAGACCAAACCACGTTACGTCCTCAACACAGGTGCTGGTCTGTAGTACTCTTCCTAGTGTCCTTTAACAACTCCTGGGTCTTGACCATGGTTGAGTTTGGAGTATAATTGCTTACAGCTGTGGATAGGTGTACTTTACACAGATAACAGGTACCAATGACATCTATGATACCAATAGGTAATGAGTGGAAAAAAGAGGTTAGTGTCAGGGACAGTCCTGATTAGATTAATGTCACTTGTTTTACCTTGTCTTTTCACTTCCTGTTTTATTTTGGTACTCATTTCCTCTCTCGTTTTAGGCAGCTTCACTTCCTGAGTTCCTTCCTGCAATCAGGATCTGCCACAGTCTAATGCAGTTCACCTGGTGTATGTGCTCCTCTTTTGTTTGTTAGAGTATTTAGTTGTCACCCTTGCAGCTTCCCTTTGCCAGTTCGTCTTTGTTCTTTGAGCTTAGCGTTCCAACCTCTTGCCTGTTAGACTTGAACTTTCTAGTGTTTTGACCCCCGCTTTGATTTGGACCTGCCTTTGCCTCCGTTTTTGGTACCTCTGTTTCTGCTGGAATTTTGGTGTTCAATCGATGACTGTATTAAAGGAACTTTGAATTTGAGACCACGGTGTCAGGTCTTGCTTTTGAGTCCTTTATTCCTGAGCCTTGTGACAGTTACAGGTCTATGAAGGCCACAGATCTTGCTCGTCTGTGGATGATACAATACTTACTTTTGACTAAAACGAACAAAAAACTAATGTTTAAAAATCTTAAAATGTGATTTCCTAAATGTTTCCTTACATTTTAGCCCCCCCAGTTGAAATGTATGTATGATACCAATCTCTCATCTTTCCAAGTATAGCAGAACTTGCACAATTAGTGGCAGACCTAATCCTTCTCTTCCAAGACAGTTTTTTTTAACACACCAATGACAACAGCAATTTCCTGCTGGTTATCTGTATTACCATTCTGAGCCTTTATCCATGTGGCAGTCTTCATTGTGAGAAGCTCCCACTCCTCTTTGGCATCCATCTTGAACCCATGAAGCCATATCAGAGCCAGAATGGAGGCCCACACCTCATTGTTGACCTAATTCACAGGGACAGTCAAAACAGGATAAAGAAAAGGAAAGATGTCATAATGATACTTCTTCAGTGAGAAACCATATTGAACTATTTAACTTACTTAGTAAACACCAAACTTGGTTCAGTTTGGTGTTTACTAAGTAACGACTGCTTAACTACGTTCCATATGTTTGATGTTTAGTTGATTTACTACATATTTATTTCCATCCCAAGTTTAATCCTGAAACATTGTGATTAGCTTGTCTTCTTACAGCAACAGGGTCCTGGATCCAACTCTCAATTTTCTCCAACATGTGAAGATTCCAATAATTGGTTGGAGGGAGTGGTGACCAGGATTTACCTGCCTCATCCCAACACCACTGGAGATTGACCCAAACCCCTGTCCTCTAAACTATGAATGTTCATTTCTTGCATGCCAACTCTTTATTTAAACTCTTAAATTTATTACTGTGGGGAAATTACTATGTACAATTTATTGTTCCTTGTTTTGAGTGTGACCCACCGATTTTGGCTCTGACTTCTTCACTTCCTTTTTGGTCTTTCCAAACACAGCGGCCAGATCTGCATCAAGTTGCCAGAAGCCGGATGCCTTCTGTAGAGAGACCAGCTGCAGCAGAAGGTCTTTAGGGGGCTGAATGTCCAGCTTCTCAGACTTAAGTTTAAGGCCCGTCCCTTTAAAGATTTGACTGAACATTACTAAGGAACCTCTGTCAAGGATTAATATGCAAGGAATTTTTTTTTGCATGTATAAATGTATATGACAACAGAAGAGATTATATTTTCTTTTATGATAACTAAAATGGACTAGAAAATGGCAGGCAGGACAATCTGATTGTGAACTCACTGAATAGAAAGCTACAGAAATTATTCAGGTTAACAGACATTGCAGTTTTATGTAAGCAGTCTATATCTGACAGGTTGGAATTTTACTGTGAGATTCTCTGAAACACACTTTAGAAATAAGCAAACTTATTAATAATAATAATAATAAAAATTACGACCGTCTTAATTAGTTGATTAAAACCTGAACTGCTAAAGTTTGTAACTGGTACCTACTAAAATGCTGCGCTGCTGCTTAAAACAGATACTAAGGCATCTGGCCCACTGTTATAAAACTCATCAAAAGTGAAGTTTCTGCAGTAGATTAGTAATAAATTAGCAACATCACTTAACAATATATTGGGATATCAGTTTAGCACATTTGAAAAGACAGGAAACTAGCCATTTTCCTATTGCTCTATCAAGACCTGGCACCAACATGTATGTGCTCTTAATGTAAGAATCTTTCAGATAATGTAATGTAGTGTATTTGTTTTTTACAGAGAGATCAGGTTCTTGGGATTTTTGGCTTAAGAGTGACTGTGAGTGAATACTTGACAAAAACTCCAATCTTGGTGGATCTGGTTGCTAATTGCAAACCTGTAATCGGCAGATTATAATAATGTGTCTGATGCTAATGAAATGGAATTAAATTAAACTCACCCACAGCATCGAAATTGTTCAATGGATCTTATTTACATCCTTATCATTTTTATTTGCTTTTTGTTTACTACATTAATGTGATATCAATCTGTACTCGTCAATACTTTCTTGTGACTGCCTACTGGTTTATGACAGCCAGTGGTGGGCTGTCAGGGCCTTCACTGCTGGCCTAAAATTTATCAGAATCACTAAGCTACATTCACAACCTAAACTTGTATTTTCTTCTTTCCAACTGTATTAATTTATTCCAAACAATCCATTCTCTTAATTTTGTAGTTGATGTAGTTGTAACGATCTTGGTTCTGTTGTTTTTCTTAAGTTTTCTGTTTCAAGTTTAGCCAGGTTTTTCATTGTTTTCTGGCTTTTTTGGTGTGTCTGGATTCATTTAAGTTACTTAGGTTTTTCTGTCTGTC